ATGGCTTACCATACCATGACGACTCCAAAGAAGAAGGAAGATTCCTTTTTGGATAAAATTGGGACCTTAGCTCGTAAAAAGAAAGCTAAAGAAGGTAGAAAAATCTGCATCATTTCTCTCTTTCAAGCCTTAGATTCTCTGAAAAGTTTGTCTTGTTTCTTTGGAATGTTTGTTGTAGGGGGGTTGCTACAACATTCCAAATATGGGCGTGCTTTAAAAAAAATACTAACTTAAGTTATTTTGTGGTCCTAATTTATAAAACACATTGCCTAAAAGTTGAAGGTGATGTCTCTCCACAAAGGTCTGCTATCGTTCCTTTTAAAAATTATAATTTATCAACTGTTGCTGGAAAGGAACAAAACTTTTAAAAAGGAAACCTTAACTTTTCAAAACTTTTTGATTGTTGCACTTTAGTTTACTTTAAGTTTTTTAGCCAATGCACGGGGAAATAAAAAAAAGAAAAAGAAAAAACAATCAAAGAAAATAAATTTAAATTAACTGAGTGTGTGTGTTTCTTCTTTTTATGAAGATATTTATAAACAAAGCAGTAAATCCAAACGCTTGAGAATTTATTTTTTTTCGACACATACCGAAATGATAAAAAAAATCTGTCTTCTTCTTAATCTTAACACTAGACTTTTTTTATTTTACCTACAAACTTTTTTTTTTTTTTTTTTTTTCGTAACTATTTTTATTTGGCATTATTAAGATCATAAACAATGTAATGAAGACAAGTTCTAGGTGTTTTTTGTACAGTTCATAAACAAGACTTTTTTTTTTTTTTTAAAAAAAAAACAAGATTTTTAATTTTAAATGTTCAAAGTTATTTTTATTTACTTTTTACGTCTTTTTTTTTTTTTTTTTTTTTTTTAGTAAAAAATGATTTGCTTTATTTATTATTCCGTAATTCAAAAAGTGGTAAATACAGTTATTAAAATTTGGCTATTATTTGTTTGGGAAAAAATTAAGTTACACAGTACTTAATTAATTTTTATAATTATTTATTACTTTACTTCGTACTTCCAGAATGTTTTATCTGAATTTTAATGTATGACATTTTAATTTTTCGTTTTTTGTAAAATTTATTTTCCATTTTTCCATTTGCTAATTGATTCACAAAAAAATGCAGGAATAAATTACTTTTTTTTTTCTTTTGGTTTATTTTATTTTTATTTTATTTTTCTTAATAGACATTTTTCCATTTGTGAGTAGATCCAAACCAAAACTTTGCATAAAAGTTGTTCCGTTCAAAAGCTCGTCTTTTATTATTTTTTCCTTTTTAGTTTTAAATAATTAGGTAAAAAAAAAAAAAGTACGCTACTAACTCTAACTAGTCATAAAGTTTTTTTTTTATTTTAAACATTTGAAATTTGAATGGAAAGTGACTTTGAGTTTGAAAGTTTTCATATTCTTACATTTTTTCCTTTTTTTTTTTCTTTTAAATCATTAAAATAAAATTAAATCTAAAAAAAAAAAAAAAATTATGATCAAAGTTTAATTATTCTTGACGAAACAAACGAGCATGTTAAAAAATATTAAGTTATTATTAACAAACACTTACTTGTGTTTTCAATTTTTTACTTTCATCCCTAGTAGAAGAAAATCAAATTTTTTTTTTTTTTTTTTTTTAAAGAGTGCTTATAATCTGCAGCATTAAAATATTAGAAACTGTGGAGAGCCTTGATTGGCCACATCCTGGAAAGGATATGGCAGATTGAGATTTAAATGGGCTGCATATCTCAACACATTTTTAATGTTTTCTTTTCTTTTTGATTGTCGAGAGAGTAAAAAAAAAAATTAGTACATACCACGCCAACAACAGTAAACAGTTATTTTTATTTATTTTTTTTTTTGGTCTGTGTTATTTTAATGAAAGTATTTCTGTGAAATTATTTTCGGTTTCTACTTTATGACAAACAGTTTTTGTTTGCAACTGATCATTTTTGAAAAAAAAGGTGCTACCGACTTGCTTAAAAAAGAGAAAAAATGACAGAAAATTAAATTAAAGATTTTGATTTGAAAACAAAGTGACTCAAAAAAAAAAAAAAAAAAGAAATTTAATTTACAATACCGATGGACACTGATTTTCGACATTGACATCTAATGTCCAATTTAAAATTTAAAACAGGACTGATTTTGCGTTGGTTTTTACGCAAATATGTGAGTTATTTTGAAAAGTATGGAAGCTTAAAAATAAACAGTTTATTTATTCAGTCAGTAATCTAGGATTTTCAAAATCAAACCACAATTAAGTTAACTTTTTAAAAGTCTCTTTAAAAAATTATGGATGCTGGTTATGAATCAATGTAAAGAAAAAAAACTTTTATCATAAAAACAAAAAAATACAAAGTAGGGAGCCAGTTTTTAATTTTATAAAATTAAAAAAAAACACTCCTACAAAAAAGAAAACTTTAGCTTAAAAAGTTGCTTTCCCAATGAAAGTAAATAAAAATCCGCAAAATATATTTTCTTAGACGCAAAAAAGGTTTTCTAGTTTATTTAACAGAATTTTTTATTCATTTATTTTTAACATTTGTAAACTTTTCTGATTTTTTTTCTTTCCTGCTAAGAATCGAACTGTCTTTGAGTCATCGTTCAAAAGAATTTTCACATACCAAATACTGAGTTACCTCCCTTAGACTGCTTTCCTCTGGCCTCAAACTCTGAACAAAGCAAAACATTGGAACATCAATGTGCATATTATTCGTGAGGTTTTTTTTCTCCCCCTATGGAGATTCAGTTGTTATCAGATTAAATAAATTATATATTTTTAGACTACTTTTAAAAGATCTTATTACTGATGCAGTTCTCTTTTTAGATCCAAAGAAGGGAGGTCCGTATTTATTTCCGTTTTTTTGTTAATAAGCAAATTCCACGTCTTATTGATCACAAAAGTTAATTTTTTATTTATTTATGGAAACGTGTGCTTTTTTTAAAAGCAGGGTAATAAAAATCAGTATTTAGTATGCGAAAATTGTTTCGACCGCTAAATTTGACGATGCTCTATTTTTTTTTTTTTTTATTCCCGTCCCACTCCAGGATATTGGTTCTTTATTTCTGCAAGAACAGAAAAAAGTTTGCACTTATGCTTTACATCTTATTTTCTGCAGTTTGGATGTTGTGTTTAGTTTTCTGAACTGTTGGAATACATTTTACTTTCAAATAATTTATATATGTGACTTTTTAGAGACTCATTTCTTATTTAATATTTTTTGTTGTTGTTGTTTTATAGGGTGTCAAAGGTTAGTCCACAAGTGCGCGCTTAACCAATAGCAAACTAACACCATGGCATCAATTTCTATGTAAAGAAAGGGAAATATAAAAATTAATTGCCTTTTACGTAAACTACACAAGCAACATTGAACCTCTGTGCTAGATTTCAAATTTTGTGACAACTGGACAATTTTGTTTTGTTTGACTATAGAAGGAATCACATGTATTTGGTTTTTTTACTTTTAAGTAGAAACCTCCACTAAATTTTCGATACCTAAGGTTTAAAATGAATTTTTAAAAATGAAAAAACAAAGCAAAAACATTCTTGAAGCTTTCTTTTTAGCTTTGCTTTAATTGAAAGCTAAATGATTAAATTTACTATTTCTAGTAAGCAAAATACTAGGGTGTATTTCAAATAGAAATTATATTGATTGGAATCTCAACTTTTTGGTTGCTTTCAGAAAATCGATAAGTATCGGCCATTTTGACAAATTTGTAAACAAAAGTTAATTCTCGGTTTTAAAAATCTTAAAAATTTGTGACACGTTATTTGAGGAAAATTAACAAATTGCTAATTTTCCTCAAATAACATGTCACAAATTAATCTGATTTGAAACAAATATACAGCATAAAAAAATTTCTTAACCACAATGTCTTGTTTTTCTGACGTTGATTGGCAGCCTAACGTGTTGAAAAGCTAAGTATGGTTGACCAGATTTTGACATAAATTTATGAAAAATCCAAGTGAACGCTTTGTTGTTAAACTACCTACTAATTTTTTTTTTTTTATAAATTAACATTTTCAGCAGTTATCTGATATTTTATTGAATTTTAGTTACTTTATAGCTTATCAAAATAACTCACAAAATGAATAAAAACTTAAAAAAATATTAAAACTACCAACCAAAAAATTATGAATTTATAGTTAAAGTAAAAAAAAAAAAAAAAAAACGATTTAAAAGGAAATTTCAAAATGACACTCGAATTAAAAAAATAAAAACTTCAAATAGAAATTAATAAGAAAAATTTCATTTAAGTTACAGTAAAATTTATTTTTTAATAGAATTAGGTTAAGTGAAACCAAAAGAATAATTTAAGTATGACCCACACTAAAATAAATACATAAAATTATTTAGTGAAATAAATGGTAATGTTTCCATACTAAAAAAAAAAAAAAAATTATTTTAAAAATATTTGGGGTAAACAACTTTTATTAAGCTTTTCAATTTTTGTAAATATAGTTTTCATTTAAGAATATCACCTAATCGGATTGAAGTAATGCAGAATTTTAAACATATTAAAAATTATTATAATTAAAATTTAAAAAATGAAAACAATTCTTGTAAGAATTCATTATTCATTGAAAAAAATCTTTTTTTTTTTTTTTTTTTTTTTTTAAGACAATAATGTCCTAATAAATCTTATTTATAAAAGCAATTTTATTAAAAGCTTTCCTAAGTAAATGATGTCAGTTTTATTGCATTTTTTATTTTACGATTCAGAAAAGATTTTCGGTAATTGGGGGTTTGTGTGTGCTGTTTTACAAAAAAAAACAAACGAAAACTGATGATTTAAAATATTCTCCAAAGAGTCCTACTTTTAGTTTTAACTAACAACAAATTTTGAGATTGAAATTTAATTTCTCGAAATTTCATGAAATTGAATAAATGGGGTGGAATTAACAAATGTAAAAAGAAAAAAAATGAAATATTTTTTATTTTTACCAAGATTTTCTAAAAAAAAAAAAAAAAAAAAAAAAGTAAATATTACATTGACCGCTGATGCAGAAAAAAAAAAAAAAAATTGAGATTTTAACCAAAATTTTGACCGCACCAGAAAAGGATTAAAATTTTAAAAATAATTAAAAAAATAAAAAAATAT